TCTTTAATTCAGGTTTTGTTAATAATTATTTTTATATATTTAAGAGTGTGTTTTTTGACTTTGTTAGAGCGAAAAATATTAAGTTATGCTCAAAATCGAAAAGGTCCTAATAAAGTTGGATTTTTAGGGTTGATTCAGCCTTTATTAGACGGTGGTAAGTTAATTTTTAAGGATTGAAAAGTATATTTTATTTCTTATTTTATTTTTATTTTAATACCTATTTTTGTTATTAGTTTTATAAGTTTAATATTAACTTATGTTTTTTTGTTATATTTTGTTAATGTTCATAATAATAGGATTTTATTTATATTATTGGTTAGTTCTCTAATGGTGTATATTATTTTTTCTATGGGATGGGTTAGTGTTAGTTCTTATAGAGTTTTAGGAAGATTGCGTAGTTCTTCTCAATTAGTGGCTTATGAGATTGTAATATTTCTTGCAATTTTATTGTTAGTTATTTATAATAATTCTTGATCTTTTGTTGGTATTGTTTTTAATAGGGTTTACTTGTTTGATGTGTTTATTATTTGGTTAATGATTATTTTAGTTGAAACTAATCGTAGTCCTTTTGATTTTGCTGAAGGGGAAAGTGAGTCAGTTTCTGGTTTTAATATTGAGTACGGTGCTGTTTTTTTTGCTTTTATTTTTATTTCTGAGTACGGTATAATTATTGTGTTTTCTTGGCTTACAAGGGGTTTTTTCATATATAATTTTTTATTTATGTTAGTGGTTTTTTATGTTATTATAGTTCGTGGGTTTATTCCACGTAGTCGTTATGATATTTTAATAAATGTTTGTTGAAAATTTTTATTTATATTATTAAGTATTCATTTTTATCTGATCTTGCAAGTCCTATTAATTTGTTGTGATTTTGGAACTTTGGTTTTATGTTGGGTATAGCTATAGTTATTCAAGTTATTAGAGGTATGATGCTTGCTATTTATTATAGTGATTCTGTTAGCTATGCTTTTTATTCTGTGATTTATTTAGAGATTGAGGTTCAGATAGGTTATTTAATTCGTTTTATTCACTCTACTGGGGCTAGTTTATTATTTATACTTATTTATATTCATATTGGTCGTAGATTATGATTTAAATCAATGTTAATTGTTAGTGTTTGGGAAGTGGGGGTATTAATTTTTGCTTTGATAATAGCTGTGTCTTTTTTGGGTTATGTTTTACCTTGAGGCCAAATGTCTTTTTGAGCAGCTACTGTTATTACTAATTTATTAATGGTTGTTCCTTATATTGGGTTAGATTTAGTTGAATGGGTTTGAGGTGCTTCTAGTGTAGGGGGGCCTTTACTCTCTCGTTTTTTTGTTCTTCATTATTTATTTCCATTTGTTATCTTATTTTTAAGTATTTTGCATTTATTGTTTCTTCATGATGGTGGTAGTAGAAACCCGTTAGGTGTTTCCACTAAGTTAGATAAGATTGAATTTCATTGATATCATACTTTGAAGGATGGAGTTTCTATAGTTTTAATAGTTTTTTTCTTTTTACTGTTATTTTTGTTGTTACCTTATATTTTTATAGACTCGGAAAATTTTTTGTTTGTGGACTCTTTAAAGACTCCTGAACATATTAAGCCTGAGTGGTATTTTTCATTTGCTTATTGTATTTTGCGAAGTGTTCCTAATAAGTTAGGTGGTGTAATTGGTTTGGCTATAAGTATTGTTATTTTAATATTAATTCCTTTTAGAAAAAATAAGCAATTTAAGTTTAATGATAGTTTTAGGTTATTTATTTGTGTGTTGTTTTTTGTTGTTTTTTTGATGCTAACTTGGTTGGGGGGTTGTATGGTTGAATGACCTTATGATATATTAGGTAAAATTATAAGTGTTTTATATTTTGTTCTTATTGTTTATTAGTTAAATCGTGTTATTTTGAATATAACTTTTTATATTAACTTGTGTTGTTATTAGTAGTTTTTTGATTTTCTTTTATCATGTGGGTTTATTTTTGAGCCGAGCCTATAAAATCATTAATTTTATTAGAGATTTTTAGTGTTTCTTTTATTTTGTTGGTATCTTTAATATTAATAATATATGAGTTAAGATTCTTATATTTCTGTTTGAGTTTAGTTTTTTTAGTTTGTGAGTCTGTAGTAGGGTTTTTATTGTTTGTAGTTTATATTACTTTTAATTTTGATTTGGTTAAAAAAAGTTCTTTTATACTATTATAATTTTTATATTTTTAATTGGGTTTTTTTTTGTTAATTATTCTTTTTATCTATCTTTATTACTTATTTATATTATTTTTAATTACGTATTTTTTTATGAGGAGTATTTTGGCTTATTTAAATTGGAGGTTGGTTCTTGATTTTTAGTATT